CTTTAAAGTTCATTAATGTTAAGGTTAGCGTTTCGTATAAAGTTAAAAGCTAAGTAGTTTTATAGTAAAATCGCACAAGGAAAACTTTTTGTTAGTGTACTAAAGGCGGTTTACTATACAGATTCTTGAGAAAGAAGCGATTTTTGGCAAAACGAACGTTTGTTTTGATTGTGCTACATTACATCTGATTCTCAAATCTGATTTGTAGATCATGCATAATCATGCATAACCGGGCACAGATTCAAAAATTGCGATATTCACAGCAGCCAGTAGAATATCTATTACATATGTTGCACGCCGGGTGAAGGATCAGTCGTGTAACGTCAAGATGATCATATCTCGCGTGAGATGAATTTTTCAATTTAAGATTTTCTAAATAATCAGTGTTTAATGTTCTGAGAAAAAGGTTTAGCACATGAATTGCACGAGACATGTGAAATATATGCTATGTTTATCTCGCGCGAGGTATATTCTCTAGGGACACCTATGGGCGTTATTTCGAATTCACACAATTTTTAAAGGAACTGAGGGAAAGACTTTCGAAGTACTCGGTATCTATAAAGCCTTTAAAACAGATATCGCAAATTTTAATGAAGAAATAAAAGCTGCTGCAAAAGAACACAACAAAGAACTCGTAAAAGAATTATTGAAATGGAATTCTAAATATGATGCGCTTGTAAATGAATTAGAAGCTACCGCTGTTCAATTTATTGGTTCAATCGGGGAACTTAAAAAAAAATTAGCGAAATTACATTAAATAGCATAATTTGATTATAAAAGCAGTTAATGCCTTTTATCAATTATTAGGTCTTACAATTTATAATTTAATTTAAAATACATAGCACTAAATTTTATGAATCATTGTTTCTTTTAAGAAAGTAATCTTTGTTCTTCGATTAATCCTTTAACTTTTTTTTAAAAAAATAAAAAAAAGCTAGTTATTATATTTTTTGCATCCAACAATCCTAAGTTAGGATCAATTTTTGAATTTTGAAATCTTGTATGGCTTGACCTCAGCTTTAGCCAATAGTTTTAAGCTACGTATAAATAGACTAGAGATGGCAAATGTTTTAAAACACAATCTTAAAAATCATGTTTGTTTGATTTAATTCTGTTAAAAATGTTTTAATACATTATATGATGTAATTTGATCTGATTGCGTAATTTAGTATTTATGATTACTAACATTCAAAAAAAAAAAATAAAATTGAAAAAGTTCTTCAAAGCAATGTTTCATGTTCGTGGAGACACCTTTAAAAGAAATCGTTTAAATTTTACAAAAATTGCTGAATCTAATAAACTTGGTAGAAAAACATCACGTCAAAAATGCAATTACTACGAAGAAGACTGTTGATTCACTTGATCAATTAAAAAACTTCCAAGAAATATGAGATTTATTGAAAGTTTATGATTCTATCTCAAGTAACATATGCGATTGAATTAATGAGAAGGATAAATTATTATTCATTGTATTACTTCTAATCTTCAAATAATTCATTCGCAACAACTTATTTAATAAGGTTTACATAGTGGCGATATTACTGTAAACTTGAATTCTCAATACTACAAACGTAAAACTAATATCAAATAAAAAATTGTATTTGGCTGATGGCAAATTTATACAGTTAAAAATATCATTAATAAAATTAAAGTGATCAAATATATTTCTTATAAATTTATTTTTTTTTATATATATAATAAATTCGAAATTATATAGCATCGCTTTTTTTAAAAAAAATTTCTTTGCTGACAATTAAAATTAATCTGAAGCAATATTTTCATTTTTATCTCAGACTTTGATGTTTTAAAAAAAGTTTTAAAACAATAAAAAATATTTAAAAAACTGTTTAAAATGTTTTTTTACCATCCTTGAAATAGACACAAAAAATAAAAGCTAATTGTATTAATGGGTATCCATAAAGTATACTAAATTTAAAAATGAAGATACTGTAAATTATTCATAGTTGCATAAAACTTTTACAAAATATAGCTAATTACATGTAGTTTATTATAACAATAAATTTATAATTGTATCTTCACAAATGAAACATAAGCGAGCTTTTTTTTTAGAAGGTATTTTTGCATTCGCTGATCAACTTTTAATTATCCCTTAAACTGTTTTTCAGAGAATTTTTAAATTATTTGATAAATAAATATTATTGTAATACCAAATCATAATAAGTAAAAACTCCCCTAACGTATAATTTTCTAGGGCTGAGAGAACCTGACCAATCATTAACGTAGTTATAATTTCAGACCCTATTTTCTTTCTATTTAGGAATAGTTTATACTTTTGTGAATAGTAATACAAATAGTAAAATAGATGATAATGTAAATTTTTTTTTTCTTGCAAAAGTAAATTTTCATAAAGTTTTCAATCGAGGATCATCAAAACATTTGCCATGTATACTCTTTTTTGGTAGAATTTATTTGAGCATTTTAGAAAAAAAAATCCTCGCATTTTTAAATTTTAAATAATAATAAATCTATTTGAATCTATTTGAATCTATTTGAATTGTAAAGATTAAATAGTTGTAGTAGTGATAATGGTAATAGTAAATAGTACTAAAAAAATTTTTGATTTAAAAAAAATTATAAAAAAAACCTTAAATGGGTAAGAATTTTAGCTTTGTGAATTCTTTGTTCTATGTTTATTTATTATCTTCTAAAGTTTTTACTTTTTTTTAGTTTTTTTTGTATCAGATTTTTTACCAGACAGATGAATTGATAATCATTAATGTTAAAGACTATAGTGAAAGAATTTGGTCACTTTCAAATGATCGTTGATTAAAAATTTAAAAATAGACAAACGCACATATATATATATATATATACATGAGTTTAGTGATTCTAGCCGAAACCAAAAAATTTGACTAAGCTGATTTTTTGACCCAGCTAGTCAATTTTGTAAGTGAAGTTATTTATTATTATATAATAAAATAGATTCTCTAATTGTGTATTACCAAAGTTTTTTTTATATTGATTAATTTAATATTGTATCTATCTAAAAACTTTATTTACATTTCACAGTTTTTGGTTATTTAACAGCCAACTTTCTAGCAATAATATTAAATTAAATTAGTCAGTGCGATATATTCACAAATATATATATTTACTATTACAAAATTATTTAATTCATATTACTTTAGTCTGAACTAGTCAAAGCTCGCATTAATTTATTTACATAAGTTCTGAAAACTTAAAAAATTATCGATAACTGAATTAATGTTTGCTAATATTAGTAACTTAATGATTCTGTCTTGGTAACTTATCGATTCTGTACTAGAAAATTTTTTAGCTACTCCAAAATTTATAAAAACAACCATAATAAAAAATAAAATTTAAAATAGATTTATTAATATATTATTCTACCAGATAAGCTGTAAATTTTTTAGCTAAATTGACTAAGCTGATAAAATTTTGACTAGCTAGAATTACTATGTGAGTTTGAAATATTACTATTATCATAATCCCTAAAATACCTAATAAAAATTAGCCGAATGATTTTTTGGCTAATTCGATTAAGTTAGTGATCTCAGCATAATAAATTCTATAAATTGATACGTACAATATATATGCATGCACGTATATACTTATGAATTTAAGATCAGATTATTAATATAAATATTATACCGAATATCTTAAATCAAATATAAAAACATAATACTTTCAAACTATCTTTACTGGCAAATAATTTTTTGGAGAATTTACAGATAAGGGTCCAAAAAACAAAAATGATTACAAATAAGGGTCCAAAATGAAAATAATTACAGATAGAGGCCTGATATTTGAAAATTATTACAAATAAAAGTTCAAAATAATTAGAATCTATGATCCTGTTTTGATGATATTGTAACTGAAATATTCAATTATAGAGGTTTAGGTCTTTGTTGGAAGAAATTCAAGATGAAGAGGCTTGTTTTTATTAAACTAAAACTTTAAGCCAGTGGACGATGCCTTTTTACAAGACTTTTAAAGCTGTTTTATAAAAAAATAATTATTAACACTTAACTATCTATTCTTTAGACTAGTTTTTCTAAAACTATAATTCCTCCTTGTTACAAACCCGTTTTATATTTAATTACTATCCTACTAATGCTATGCATAATGATCTATACATAACAATAAAAAAGTAACGATTTATAAATAAATAAATAAATAAGCAAGTAGGCAAAAGGTCCGTCAGTATCACGTAATCATCATGTACATTGTGATCACGTGATCATCATAGTATATAATATTAGACTAGCAGCAATAATTCTGTTACACTTCTCACTCCTTCAAAATACGAGGTCTTCTGAGCATAATTAACTAGTAATTATAAAATTTCTAAACTAAATTTCTATAAATAAAAATCAACTAATTCTATTTAGGAGTTTTAGGTTTCTTGGTATACCTGTAACCAGAACTCTATAACTAAAATTTTAACTTAATTTAGGAGTTTTATGCTTCAGATAATCCGTAACCAAAAACTTAAGAGTTTTTATTTCTCAAATACCCGTAACCAAATTTTTATCCCTATCCTTGGCTAATCTATAGCCAAACTTTACTTTTGTATAGGTCTTATTTCTCGCCAGACCAGGCTATATCATTACACTTTACAACTACATACTCAACTACAACTTACAAAAACAAAACTATAAACTAAAAAAAACTAAAATTCATGAAAATCAAAAAAAACTATAAACTTTAAACACCAAACTATAAACTTTGCTAAATATCTAAATAAAACTATATACACTAAACTAAAACTAAATTTACTAACAATCAAAATTTAAAACAATTCGCTAAAATATACTTTAACTAAAAACTATAATTTACTAAAATCTATAAATTCTAAAAAAAAAACTAAATCGATAATTTAAATTCATCTAAAAATTTTTTTTTTTTTAATTCACACTTGACCTCACATCAAAATTTAGGGCATAATAGATAAGTTTCTTGATCTTTGTGTATTCTTTTTGTTATATTACTTTTTTACTAATTTATTAATTTATCATTCTAGGACTTCACTTCTTTCTAACATTGTTTTATAGATTCTTTCAGGCTTCACAGGGATCAGGTTAGCTTCTAGATTCATTTTTGAGAGTATACAAGGCTAGGTATATACGAATGTGGTCTTCTTTTTACCTTGTTTTTGTGACGTTACCCACGTGATTGTCATATTAGTCGTTGATTGATCATCTACTGATTTTAATTTTTTTCAATCTTTTTCAATTCTTTCTTCCACTAGCTTCGCTTTTCTTGGCCCATTTTACATTATTTTGTTCCTTCTGATTCTATTTTCATTTGATTGCCATAATCTACCTTTCATTAGAACTTTCCAAGATTAAGTGAGTATTTTATTTCTTTTTCTTTTCTCTTTTTTTCATTTACTGATCTTGGTTCTTGTAGATTTAGTCATATTGTCGAGAATTGTTATCTGAAATATTTCTTGGCATGGATCTTGGCGAGAGAAGTATATATAAATATATATATATATATATATATATATATATATTATTATTATTTTTTTTAATTCTTCTTTCGTTCGTTTTTCCACATTCATATTTTTACTAAGGTCCTATTGCTTTCTTTTTAGAGCAGATTGTGAAGTGTATTATGCGGTTAATTCTTTATAACATACAATTCTGGGAGCAAATTCTGGTCTTAGTCTGTTATGAATCTATCAGAGGTTCTTTGTCCAGTTACTGTCTCAATCATAATAACCCCAAGGCTATATATATCTGAATAGTTATCTATTAAAACTTCTGGAGC